AGTGGAGAGGGGCAGAGAGAGAGAGGGAGACAGAGAATCCCAAGCAGACTCTGCACTGACGGCCCCTATGTGGGGCTTGACCTCATGAACTATGAGATCATGACCTGAGCCCAAATCAGGAGTCAGATGCTGAACAGATTAAGCCCCCCACGTGCCCCTGAATTGGTGTTTGGTGTTTTTTTTTTTTTTTTTTTTTTGTATTCTTTGGGTAAATACCTAGCAGTGTAATTGCTAGATCGTAGGGTAGTTCTATTTTTAACTTTTTGAGGAACCTCCATACTGTTTTCCCCAGTGGCTGCACCAGTTTGCATTCCCATCAACAGTGTAAGAGGGTTCCCCTTTCTCCACATCCTTGACAACACCTGTTGTTTTGTGTTGTTGATTTTAGCCAAAATGTATTTTTAAAAAGTTGCGCATGTATGTATACAAGGACCAACTGGAAAAAATAATTTTAGTGATGCCTCATTTCTGGGAGAGTATAAAATACATTTTTCTCTGTAGGTCTAGATCTTCTTGGAGTAAGTGTGTGCATGCACATTTGGTGAAAAGCTGCTCTTGGGCTAGAATTTCTGGGCCCACAAGGAGGTGCCACAGGGACCTTAGGAAGAAAGAAAGCAGATCTCTGACCCTCTGGCCAGGATGGCTTATGGCTTGCTGGTGGGAGGGGATCTGGGCTGAGATTCTCCCTTACTGAGGCTACTGACGTTAGTCTGTGAGGCCAGGCCCCATATGAATCGCCATTCATGTGGCAAAAAGAACTTACTATCCCAAAAAACAACAGCCCTCTGGCAAGGAATGAAAGAAGCAGAAACGGAGATGCCTCCCCACTCGGTCATAAAAGTGTCAGTTGCCAGATGCCAGGGCGGCATTCCAAAGGCCGGTGGGGTTTCAGGGGCCAGATGGGGGTCACAGCAGACAGTCAGCGGAGAGATGGTGGCTGGGGCTGCTGGCTGCGCATTGCATCTCTCAGAGACCGGCCAGGCCAGCAGCACTCTGGGCCACTGCTCCTAACAAACAGATTGGAAGAACAAGAATGATAATCCCGATGGTTTCGTCAGCACTGATTTTCTTCACTGCATTATTCTCTGAATGTTCATAAAAAATGGCATTTGGGGGGCACCTGGGTGACTCAGTCGGTTAAGCGTCTGACTCTTGATTTCGGTTCAGGTCATGGTCTCACGGTTCATGAGATCAAGCCCCGCATGGGGCTCTGCACTAACAGCATGGAGCCTGCTTGGGGTTCTTGCTCTCCCCCTCTCTCTGCCCCTCCCTCTCTCTCTCTCTCTCTCAAAATAAGTAAATAAACATTTTTTAAAAATGGCATTTGGCCATGCTATGAAGAGCTGGGTAGCTGGTAGGAAGAAGGAATAGATTGTTGGGTTTGGAGTGCAAGGCACACTCTCAACTGGGCTAGTCAGAGAATACGTCCTCAGGAGGTGTTCAGTTAAAAAAAAAATCATGACATTAAAGACATTATAGAAGTTGTGATTTTTGTTAAAAAAAATTAGCAATAGGGGGTGCTTGGGTGGCTCAGTTGGTTAAGCATCGGACTTCAGCTCAGGTCATGATCTCACTGCTCTTGAGTTCAAGCCCCACAGGGCCCCTGCTTGGGATCCCCTGCCCCCCTTTCTCCCTGCGCCTCCCTGGCTTGCGTGCTCCCTCGCTCTCTCTCTCAAAAATAAATAAACATTAAAAACATCAGCAACACAGAAGCATGATGAGTAAAAACTAGAGACCCTCTTTCCTTCCCTCCCCCACCCACACCAATCCCACTCTCTTCCTAGAGAAGTCGTCAGTTTGGTGTGTGTTCTTCCATTCCAGAACATAAAAGTGTGCCTTATTCCTTCAACTGGGCATGTATCTTTTCATTACAAGGATTGTTTGATATTTTTCACTGAGATAGTGCTTCAGTGAACCTAGCTTGGTGATTCCCAAACTGTGGTGTGTGTGTGTGTGTGTGTGTGTGTGTGTGTGTGTGTGTTTTCACATATGTGTCAATATTTCCTTGGGACAGATCCCTACAGTGGAATTTCTAGGTCAAAGGGCACGCACATTTTAAATGTTGCCAAACTGTGTTACAAAAAGGTTTTATTTACATTCCTACTGGATATTGCCATGCCTTTATTGTTGTCAGTTTGAGAGGTAAAAATTGCACCTAGTTGTTTTAGTTTCCTTTATTAAAAGGATATTTATTCTATTTTTTAAATTGTGGTGAAATATACCTAACATTTACCATTTTAATCATTTTAAGTGTACAGTTCGGTGGCATTAAGTATATTCACACTGTTGTGCAACCGACATCAGCATCCCTCTCCAGAATTAATTTGCTTTTATTGGATTAGCTAGTGAGGATCTTTTTGTTTATGGACTAGTATATTGTTCCTTCTCTTTGCTTGTCCTGTTTTCTCCTTCCCCCCTTCCCTTTGTTTCTTTTGCCTTTTTTTAAAAAAAAATTTTTTTTTTAACGTTTATTTATTTTTGGGACAGAGAGAGACAGAGCATGAACGGGCGAGGGGCAGAGAGAGAGGGAGACACAGAATCGGAAACAGGCTCCAGGCTCCGAGCCATCAGCCCAGAGCCTGACGCGGGGCTCGAACTCCCGGACCGCGAGATCGTGACCTGGCTGAAGTCGGACGCTTAACCGACTGCGCCACCCAGGCGCCCCTCTTTTGCCTTTTTATGATCTTTGCAGATTTTCTAACTAGGTTGATGTCCTTTTCTTTCTTTTTAAAACTTAAGAGATTTCCTGTATTATGAGTATTATCTATCTTCAGCTTTATATTTCTGGCTTGGCTCCTCATATATTATATTGGTTTTAATTTTTACGACATCTCTGCAAGATAAGTATTATTATTCCCATTTTGCAGATGAAGAAGCTGAAGTTTAGAGAGGTCATGTGACTTTCCTAAGGTGACATAGCTAATAAGTGGCAGGGATGAGATGAGCTGGCTCTGTCTTGCTTTTCCACAGTCTCAGGCCAAAGGGAAACCACCTGAGGCATTAAGACTCTGATGGTGTCTGGGAAGGCCGGGGAATCTCAGGGAGACTTCAGGGGGAGGCTGGGAGGATCTAGAAGCTGGCGTTGCTGAGCATGGAGGAGACCAGAGAGAGGATCCTCTCTTCCCCTGTTGTTCTTGCTGCATGAAGGGCCATCAGAACACTTCTGGCGTTTGGGTCCGTGGGTGTTCAGTCCCCCCTTATTACTGTGGCTACAGAGCAGAGGCCAGAGGGCGTGGTCTGGTCTTTTCTGGGCACTAATTCCCCACAGTTTCTTGTTCCTCCTCTCTCCCACGTCCAATCAACCACCAAACTGGGTGGGTTTCACTTCCTCAGTGTCACTTCTCTTCTCTTTGTCCCCTGCCAGAACCAAGCCCAGGTCCCATCGTGCCTCCTACCGGGTCTTACCATTTGTACCCTGGCTCCCTCCAGCTCTCCTCCGTGCTGAAACGTACATTTGATTGTGTAACTCCTCTGCTTAACATGCTTGCACGGCTCACTGCTGACAGTGTGGGGTCTGCTTGGGATTCTCTCTCTCTCTCTCTCTCTCTCTCTCTCTCTCAAAATAAACAAACTTTAAAATGCTTGGATGGCTCTGTAGTGCCTCTCAGTTAGGCACCGAACTCCTCAGCCCAGCTCACAAATTCTTCACCTTCTGGCCCCTGCTCATCTCTCCCTTTCCCACCCTTTTCTGCTTGGGTCTCTGTGTCAATCAGACTGAATTCTGTGAACTTAGCTAACTCTCTCTTGTGCCTCAGGGACTTTGCCTACACTGTTTCCTCTTCTGAACTGTGGAATGCTGTTCCCTAACTCATGCTCAAATTTTATGTCTCTGTTTAGACAACATTCCACTGGGAAACCCTCCCTGGAATGATGGGCTCGGTTATGGGCTGTGTTGTTGTACACATCTTACCACCTTGTGATTTTCTTTTTGTCAGCCGTCTGTTGATCCTGACTGCATACAAGAATTACCAGAGCTGCTTTTAAAATGCTGGTGCTGGGCCACATGCCCCTGAGATTCCAAGTTAACTAACCACCAATGGGGCCTGGGCTTCGGTTGCTTTAAAAGTTCCCCAGGTGATTCTAGTGTGCAACCAGGGGTAAGAACAGGGCCGCCTAGGAAGCTCCACAGGCCCAGGTGTCCTCTCTGTTGTAGTCATCATTCTAAACTCCTCACTGGGTCCTGGGCGGCCCAGGTACTTAGTAAGTGTGTTGAATAAATGAATGTAGCAGTTTCTCTAGAAGGGATGCAGGAATCAATAAGGACAAAAAATGACACATACCAAACGTCTATTGGATAGCAAGTTACTGCTTTTTAGTGTTTCCAGAGAACAATCAGCAAACTGTCCTAGAAAAACTCCTCAGTTGGGGCACCGAGGTATCTCAGTTGGTTGAGCCTCTGACTCTTGGTTTTGGCTCGGGTTGTGATCTTGTGGTTGGTGGTATTGGGCCCAAGTTGGGCTCTAAGCTGACAGAACGGAGCCTGCTTGGGATTCTCTTTCTCCTTCTCTCTCTGCCCCTCCCCACCCCCCAAAAGTAAATAAACAAACCTTAAAAAAATAAAAATAAGTAAAAACTCCCTGATCATTCAGGTCATTTTTAAAAACGTGCACACTTTTGTTTACTTTAGAATCACAGTAAAAATTACACATTTAGTCACGTGTGTGATTGGTTCCCCTTTGGAAGTCTCTCTTCCCCAGGCCTCCTTGAAGCCAAATGCTACACTATCAGAGGCCCCAAAACCCACCTCTGAAAGATTGATGTGTAATTTTAATTTCATGAAAAATTTCTTGAAATTTTCATTACTTATGAATAGTAAAATATAATAAAAATTCCCCGGTCAACATCTCTGCTGTGTTTCTCTTTTCTCTGCCCAGGAGTCTTCTGCAGTTTCCTTGTCTCCAGTTTCTTCTTCTTTCTTCCTTCTCTGAAAAAAAAAAAACAAATTCTCATGGACATCCAACAATTCAGCTTTTTCTCTCTGCTTGCATGATCTGGGTCAGGAGGAAGCCAGAAGCCAGCTGAACAGTGACCAGAGGCTAGCTCCATCACTCTCCTCAGTTCATGCTGTTACGTGCTTTCTGTCAGGAATCATTCACACAGGCAGCGGTTTTGCACCAGGCTCCCAGGAGCAAGGTACCGTTCACCTCAGCGCAGCCTTACCCATGTGGCATGTGGGGAGGGGGGTGGGCAGGAGAGCAGGCACAGGGGAAGAGAGTAAAAACGTGTCAACATAAGGAGAACTTCTCTCCACGCAAGGTCTGATGTAAGACCATTGGAAGCACAAGGGATGGCTTGGGGGCTGGCCAAAGTTGCCCCAAGTAGACAGACAGGTATCAGTGCCAAAAGCCAAGGCCACCAGGGACCACACCTGAAGGTGAATTAGATGGACTCACTGCTCTTTGCAGAGAGGAAGAGCTCATACCTTGGGGCATCTCAGTGAGAAGGTACTGGGAGGGCTTGTTTTACAGTTTGACTCGTTTCCTTAGGTGATTTGGGGGAAGGTTCAAGGAAGCAGGGCTTAGCTCTGGGTTGGGTGTTCTGAGGAATTGGGTCTCATTCCGATTGGGCATCTCTATTAACTTGCTCGGGTTACCATAACAAAATACCACAGACTCGGTGGCTTAGACAACAGAAATTTATTTTCTCGCAGGTCTGGAAGCCTGGGGGTTCAAAATCAAGGTGTCAATGAATGTGTTTTCTCTTGAGCCTCTTTCCTTGGTTGGCAGAGGGCTGCCTTCTTGCTGTGTCCTCACATGTTTGTCCCTCCGTGCCTCAGTGCTCTTGGTGTCCCTGTTGTGTGTCAAAATTTCCTCCTTTTACAGAGACAGCAGTCAGATCAGAGTTTGGCCTATAGTAATAGCCTCATTTTAACTTAATCACTTCTTTAAAGACCCTATCTCCACATATCGTCACATTATGGGACGCCTAGGTGGTTCAGATGGTTAAGCCTGTCATGATCTCATGGTGTGCGGGTTTGAGCCCCGTGTCGGGCTCCGTGCTGACAGCTCAGAACCTGGAGCCTGCTTCACGTTCCATGTCTCCCTCTCTCTCTGCCCCTCCCCTGCTCATCCTCTATCTCTGTTTCTCAAAAGTGAATAAACCTTAAGAAAAAACAACAAACAGTCACATTCGGAGGTACCAGGGTATGGGCTTCAACATCTGATTTTTTGGGGGAGCCACAATTCAGCCTGTAACGATACATTCAAATATCTTCAAATATCTTGTCTATATGGTAGGGGAAATAATAGAGGCTAAAGTAGGGATTCGTGAAGAAGGAGCAGTCACTCATTAGCCAGGATATGAGGATGTCTGGTCCCTTTTGTGGTTTGGACCAGGTTCATGTTTTGTCTGTGTTGAGACATGATTATGGAGTCATCTGGATTTCGTCTTCATTATAGTCATAGAGTGGCCTTGTCCAATGTTGATCTACTACAAAATTGTTTACGTTCAATGGGAGAACACCACAGCCTGGCTGTGGATAGTGTCAGCTTGTAACAACACCAAGGTGACACCCATCGAGCTAGACCGCTCCCTGCTGTCAGGGGAGGTTTCTTCTTGCCCGTTATCTAGGTACACATAGTGTACTTGCTAAGCAAAGGCAGCTGTGGGGTAATTGCTACCTTTTCCCGCCAGAAATTCTGGTGCCAATACTGGGTGACCAAGAGAGAGTGGCAAAACTCTGGTCCCCTTTTGGGCAGGCATGGGGCCCGAAGACGTGAAAGTGCAGGAAGTAGGTCTTCTGTTGCTCACTTTGAGCACACCCTCTGATGGTGTAGACTCTGTTGGAATACCTGGGTATTCCTTGGCGCTCTATTTTACTTGGTGTGTTAGTTTTCTTTTCTCTTCTCTTTTCTTTCTTTCTTTCTTTCTTTCTTTCTTGCTTTCTTGCTTTCTTTTTTAATGTTTTGTTTATTTTTGAGAGAGCTCCAGCCAGGAGGGGGAGGGGGACGGAGGATCTGAAGCTGGCTCCATGCTGACAGCAGCAAGCCCAGTGCGGGGCTCCAACTCACGAACTGTGAGATCACGCCCTGAGCCGAAGTTGGAAGCTCAACCGACTGAGCCACCCAGGCGCCCCTGGTGTGTTAGTGTTCTGTTGGCTGTGTGACAAATCACTAACTCAGTGGGTTAGAATAGCACCTATTTAAGATCTCACATTTTCTCTGGGTCAGGAGTTTAGTCTTAACTGGGTCCTTTGCTTAGGGTAACCCCAGACTGCAATCAAGGTGCTGCCCAGGACTGGGCTCCTATCGGAGGTTCTACTGTGGAAGGATCTACTTCTGAAGTCACTCAGGTGCTTGACAGAATTCATTTCCTCCTGGCCGTAGGACTCGTGACAGCTCATTTCGTCAGAGATGGCAAGGTAGAGACTCTAGCGAGATTGGCAGCACACTCCTGTGTAATCGTGTACAACCCATCATTTTTGTCACCTTCCATTGGTTAGAAGAAGGCACAGGTCCTGCTCGCACTTGGGGAGGGAATTAAACAAAAATGTGAATACCAGGAGGCAGGATCAAGGGATCTACCCTCTACCCCGGGGGCTGCCCTGATCATTTTGGGAAATCTGCAGTGTGTTAAGTGATTCAGGATTTAGATGGCTGCAGATCAGTCAGGCCGGCCAGCCAGGCAAGGATTTGCCACAGCAAATCCTCTGGGCATCCTGAAAACTTTGTTTTTGAGGGAAGATCTGATTTGGGGGAAAGGACAAAGAGGACTCCAGGGTATGATTTCCTCGGGTGACTGCTATGAAGGGGACAAGCTTCACAGATTTGTGTACATTCAGGAATCCATTGTAGGGGCACAAAAGGAAGAACTAAGAATAGGTGGACGTAGGAAGGTTGCCAGGGTATCAACTGTACATGAAACAGAAACAGAAAGAAGCAGGGAAAGGTTTAGGAACATCCAGGTCTCCGGCAATGGGCTAAAAGAACAATACCCAAGTGAAGGAGTGAACTGGATATCGAAACTGTGAGATACCGAACTAGATACCGAAAGGCAGAGAGGAGGCTAGGGGAACATTCAGCATCTCCTTCTTTTTACCTTTTTTTTTTTTTAATGTTTATTTATTTATTTTAAAACTTTTCAATGTTTATTTTTGAGAGAGGGAGGCACAGGAGGGGTAGAGAGAGGGAGACACAGAATCCAAAACAGGCTCCAGGCTCTGAGCTCTGAGCTGACAGCACAGAGCCTGAGGAGGGACTTGAACTCAGGAACCGTGAGATCATGACCCGAGCCAAAGTTGGCCGTGAGCCACCTAGGCACTCCAGCATCTCTCTCTTAACCACAAAGTGGAAGCCAGGAAAGCCATCAGCCTAGAAGATAGGTAAGGACCAGGTCATGCTGGCCTGCCTGTCACCAGGTCTGGGGTAGCACTGTGAAGTGATAGGGGCCTCAAGAATGTCTGTACAATGTATAGAGAGTAGATGTGATTTTATTGAATGTTTGGACATTGGGTGTCTTACAGAATAAATTCTACTTAATGATGGGTCTAAGGCAGGCAGCTCCACCTAGAAAAATATTAGACCTGAAGAAAATTGTTCATGCACTAGACATTTCAAGTCCAGTGTATGACCATATCCTGGACCGTAAAACAAGTCCCAATTAATATAAAATGATTGCAGTCATACAGACTATGTTCTCTGATTGCAGTGGAGCTAGGTCAGAAATCAGTAACAAGATGTCTAGGAAAAATCCATAATTTGCAAATTAAGCAATATATTTCTAAACTATCCATGGTCAAAGAAAAAAAAACAAAACCACCAGAGAAATCAGAAAGTATTCCAAACTGAATGATAATGAAAATACAGCTTTTCAAAAATCTGGGCAATGCAGCTAAAGCAATGCTTAGAGGAAAATTTATAGCTTTAACATGCTTATATTAGAAAAGAAAGGCTTAAAGTCAATGACCTAGTGTCTCACCTTAAGAAGCCAGAAAAAGAAGAGCAAAATAAATCCAAAGTAAGTAGAAGGAAATAATACAGGTTAGAGCAAGCATCAATGGAATAGGAAAGAGAAACGATGAAAGAAAACAAACTCATCTCGTTTTATTTTTTTTTTAATTAAAAAATGTTTATTTTTGAGAGAGAGAGAGGCAGAGCACGAGCAGGGACGGGCAGAGAGAGAGGGAGACACAGAATTCAAAGCAGGCTCCCGGCTCCCAGCTGTCAGCACAGAGCCCTACGTGGGCTTTTGAACTCCCCAACAGTGAGATCATGACCTGAGCTGAAGTCAGATGCTTAACCGACTGAACCACCTAGGCACCCTTCAGTCTGGTTTTATGACACATTTTCCCTCCCCTCTTCCTCTGGCCCCAGCTGACTGATTGAGACTCCATTTGGAGTGGGGAAAGAGTACAAAGTAGTAATAAGTTAATTACTTCCTTTAGAGTTCCGGGTGCTTTCATCTCACACCTGGAGAGAGCATTTTTGCCAGCAGGCGGCAGCATTGGCAACCTGAAAACCCGGACAGGTTGTGCTGGGGGTCGGCTTGTGGTCCAAGGCTCGCTGACAAGCTGAACGGGTGTCGTTTGGAGACAGGAGAGTCAACTCCGGAAAGCAAACCCCCACTGAAACTTAGAACAGGAAAAAATCCAGCGATGTCACAAAAACACCTGAAGCCTAAACGTCTGTGAAATCAAAGCTGGAAAAACGTGGCTTCTAAAATACTCTTTACTGGAGTATTGCAAATGGGCATCTGAGGCTCAGAAAACTCCCCCCCATTGCGTGTAAATCTGGGCCTCTGCGTCTCCTCATTACCTTATGGCTCACAGTTTCCATCGGAGTCTCAAAATGGACAGGGACTTAACAATTAAGAACCCCTGCTACACCACTCAGTGATCAAGCCACAGTCTGGGCTGTACCTAAAGGTTGGTAAAGTGCACTCAGGGCTTGGATGGGAGGTGGCAGAGGCTGGGCACAGTGGCTGAGCTAGTGGCTTTGATAATTTTTTCTTCCTGAAGGCTCAATGCTGTGAATAAGGCTTTAGGGGCAGAAAGGGAGCAAGTCCGTTTTGCAGGCCTCCTATGTGTACCAAACAAGATGCTTTCCATAAATGTCCTCACTGAACCTTTGAAGGAGTCCTTTGAGTTTGGTGTTCACATCCTTAATATTATTCCCCAACCCCCTTAAGACGACACC